GCTATCATAGGAAACCGTAGGGGCATGGGTATATGTATGTATGTCATGAGGCTGATCCGTCGATTAAAGCGAAATAGAAAAATACAGCCTGCAGTATTCGCTCGGCCTGTTGAGGTCTCGGCGGTCTCACGGAGTGAGCCTCTCGAAGACGCCGCAAGAATCGCCTGGCAGTCTCTGGTGTTCTTTTCAAGAGCGGAGACGGCTCTGTGAAAAGTATTTCAGAGAACCGATTGTTTGATTTTGGTTTGATTATTCTTTGTTTTCCTTGGGCGTCTCTTCCTTTTCTTTTTTATTTCCTCCATGGTATCTATTGTGTTGTCAGTCTCCCCGTTTTTCGCACATCACTAGCATGTCATGTAGTAGTAAGGGCAGCACCAATGTTGATCACTTTAATGAGATAAGTCGGATAAACCAATGTTCATCATTACATTCCAAGATGTATAAAAAAGAGGAAACTAAAATCATAACAAAACATCAAGAAAGTCATCGAGAGAAAAAACGTAAAGATGAGAAATATACAATATGCATGAGTAAAGGATACAAGAACAACTAAATCCAAAAAAAAAAACAAAAAGTTATCAATTGGGCAATCTTTCATCAGAGCTTAGTCGACGAGAAGAAGAGCGGGTAACCCTAGCCCGAGAGACGAGTATATCGGAGGCGGTTTTAGTAAGCCATCCGAGTTGACTAGAAGATGCTGATTCCAAGATCTATTAAAACGCAACAAATAGTCAGGCAAAAGCTTGAGGGAATCACAAAGATGAAAGGGTTGACGACTCACCTCGGACTGTCTAGCGTCTTGCAACAACTCCTGGATCTCACAACCACGCCTCATTGTTCTTGTCTTTCTTGAGAGTCGAGGCGAGTCGGAGGGGGCTGAATCAAGTCCGACTGGACTGGTCTTCTCAGAGTGATCCTCATTGGGTTGCGGGTTTTCAGCAGGAGGGGACAAGCTTGAATCGGTCTCCTTTGAGACATCGTCAGTAATCTCAATCGGCACTATCGTTGAGTTTGCGCTGCATTTAGTTTTTTTGCGAGGGGGTGGAGAGTGACAGTCACTAGCGCCATTTGATCCCGATTCAGATAGCGATGGAAGCAAGTGTCGGACTGGTGACTTCCTAGTCAAAGACGATTGAGACAGCGATTTCCTGGCCGAAGGCGACGCTTGTGACGGCAAGCCGTCGGGGACAGTGCTATTGGCCCGAGCGCATGGCTGTCCGGATGGGTTTTGCGAGTCCAGATTGGCCACGGCAAAGGTACTGGTAGCTTGCGGGGGATGGTCAAGTTTATTTGCTAGAGTGGAGTAGGCTTCATCTCGTTTGCGTTTGGATAGTGTTGCAGATTTGGTGGAAATGTCGGTAGTGTCGGGTGAATTCTCACTGTTTTGAGATGATGGGTCCGCACTTGAACCAGCCTGGACGACTGCCTTGGAGCTCCCCGGTGGCTTACGCGTGGTCATGTTTTGCAACATTTCTCTTGCGCTTTGGGCAGGTTCAAGCGTAGCTGATTGCTGAGGGCCAAAGGAGAGACATTTCCCGGCTTGTCGCTTAGCAAATGGAGCGAGCGTGTCTAATGCGCCAAGGCTCGTTGTGATGGGGGAAATTCGATGGTCAGGAGCTTCACTCGGGGCAAAGAATGCTTTAGGAGTGTAAGGTTGCGTGAAAGAAGCTGGGCATGAACTTGGGGTGAAACTTGATCTCAAACCCTGATTGACCTGGGATATCGATTTAAGGTTTTTGGAATTGGGTTGAAGTGGCAGGCTTGGGACCAATGCAGACTGATCAGATAACGAGCGCTCTAGATGAAAGCTAAGTTTTGCCTGTTCGACTGGATGCAATTCAAAACACAAACATTGACATCAACATGAGTGTAAAACAGATAGATGCAAATGGCCAGGTGCTCACCAAATCGGTTGACTGGTTCCTTCGAGTCTGGGAGGGTTGGGTCGAGGAGATCCTTTAACTGCTGATCATTTTTTGCCACACTTACGTGCATCCAAACAGGCACATCTCCGAGCTCTGACGAGGGGGAAGGAAAGGAGTCGGTTTCCTTGACGCTTTTGTGAACCGGCCTTAGACTTGCGAAATCGTGAACAGCGCCAGATGATCTTTGACTGGCCAGAGGACCGAACAACGTCGGGTCTCGAACATCAAGACCGTTTGATTGCAGTGAGCTGTCCGCTGGCGCCTTTGTTGTCTCATCTGGACCTGCAACAGGCCTTTTGGATGGTGGGGCACGTGTGAAGCAAGGAGCTGTTGGAGAAAATGCATTGATCAGCTGAACAGATAACAAAACACTGTGATTCAGTCTTTGGGAAAACTGACCTTTGTGTGGGGACTCAGCCAAAAGGCGCGGGTCAACTTGTGGCAGGAGGCAGTCATGACGTAGTCGAACCTCTGAAGGTACTGGTAAGGATTTAGCTGGGGAGAGAGAGCTGATGCTTGATTGGCTTGGCTGAATTTGTAAGGCTTCAATCGATTTGGGTGTTTCTAGGTGATCTGTTTCTGAATGATCTGTTTCTTGGTGATCTGTTTCCGAGTGATCTGTTTCTTGGTGATCTGTTTCTGGCCCATCCACGGCCCTAGTGTTCGATGTCTTTGGCAGACAAGCCGAGTCTGCAGGCTTGTCTGGTAGTGTTGACTCTGTACCCTGGGACTGCTGGATGACAGCTTGAAACATACAAAAAAAGCTGTCAGGATTTGACGCAGATGGGATGAGCTGAGCCAAGAAGAACGCACCATTCTCAGAGGTCTCGGCGCTTTCTGCTGCCTGTCCCTGGGACGCTGAGTCTTCTTGCACAGGCGACTGCACTTGGTGATCCAGTGAGGAATCGAGTGGCTCTGAGACGGGAGTTTCTACTTCAACTTGCACGTCCGACTTGTCCAAAGACTCAGGATCGATGCTGATCTTGAGCCTCTGCGATCTACGAGACCCTCTAATAGTTCCTTTCTTTGACTTTTTGCGGGATGATGAAGAGACCTGGCTTTCGGTGAGGGAGTTGCAAGGCTCAGCTGGTACGCTCGAATGATCTGGGATGTGTTCATGGACACTGTTTGAATCATCCAATCCAGCTGTTGCCTCTGGCGTTGAGGAGGGCGCTTCAGTACCGTTAGAGGGACCCATCAACGATGCGCTCGAGAAAGAATCGGCAGCAGCTTTCAGAGGAGTAACGGGGGGTGGAGAAACGGAGGTGAGATCTTTTACAGCTTGGACAATATCCTGCTGTTCTCCGATGTAAGCGTGCGCCGACGTTTTGACGAAATCAATGAATCCTTTGGAGGAGAACGTTGATGAGCTTGGCTGGTTTCGGAACGGGGAAAGGATCAAAGCAGACAGTTCAAGTGGAGCCATCAAAAGTCTGAGGTCAACTTTTCGAAGCTTGGAGAGCAATGTGTTGTAGACCTGTTGGATCAAAAGAGAATTCTCATCAGGACACGATTGCCCTAGTTCAGAAGAGTAACATTAGTGGACTGACCAGCTGCCTATCGTCATTTTGTTCATTGTTCAGATACGCGGAAAAATTGGTTTGACAGCTATCGAGCAGAATTTTGAGACTTTCCTGAGTGAGTCGTGAGAAGAATTCATTCAAGACTTCGATGAACTGTTTGTGGGAAGCTTGATCGATGACGCCTCCAGCTTGGATGCTGTTGAAGCAAGCATCAATCATCATCGCAGAAGCTGGCTTCAAAGATGGCTCATCCAACAAGACCCCAGGCTCGACGATCTTCATCAACTCAATGACGATCTTCATTGAAGTCTTGCCGAATAACAACTTGAGTCGGTCGTGCGTGCAAGCTTGTAGAACATCCGACAGGTCGCTGATCAGGTCGTAGAGCTTTTCGTTACAGCCCATCACCTTCTGTGCAGAAATGTAATCATCGATGACCACTTGAGCTAAGGCGTCATATTCAGCCCAATCCTCAGGGCCTACCGTGTTCGCGATTTCCCCGGCAACTGAGGAGGCGAGGACAAACGATAAGATCTTAAAGTAGAGACTGATCTTTCGGGTTTTGTCAGGGAATGCACTACTATCACTGATCACGATTAGCTTGCGGTTCATGAGCTCGATGCCGATGCCACGCTTGAGGATGGAATACAGATTTCGGAACAAAAAGATCGAGATGTTGGGTGAATGATGCGGTTCACTCTCTGCGCGTAATACGAGGGGAGCTGGGACTTGGATTGTTTTTTCCAAGGTATCTCCAAGAGCGCCGAGAGATGCCGAAAGTGGTGTGTCAAATATCCAATCACAACTTTGATAGACTGACCCCATGGACTTCACAAGTTCCTGCCAAAGCCTGAACATACGCCTAGGCCCGACCCGTTTGGAATCTTCTGGTCGTGGAGATCCAGTTGAGGGGTGTGTTACCCATTGTTCCTTTTCCATGCTCTGAATGTACTGGATTGAGCTAATAGAAGAGACGATTATCGGTAAGACCTTCTCATAACGGGAGCAAATCCAGAGCGGATCGAGAGCTGGAATTTCAACTGGAGTCACGGCTGTAGAGACCGCCGCATTTGAGAACTGTTCCAAGTAGGTTTCAAGGGACGATTCGGGCTTGGTGGGCAGTTGGTGGTAGGCGGGATGTATCAATCGTTCGAGAGTCCATTCGTTTTCAGTTGGCGAGTCTGGTGAGTCATGCTTACATAGAGCAATTAGGATTTCATAGACATGATACCTGTGCTCATCATGTGGCCCGGCGAGAATATTAGGCAGAATAGGTCCTATCATCTCGTCCCAGACCGTATCCAGATTTTGGAACCGGGAACAGGTATTCGTCGTGGCTAATAACTCAGATGGTGGGCTGAAACACATGGGCGGGTGGGCTAGGAATTCCTTGATGAAGCCGATCACCCCATAGAGATAGGCGGAAAGTAAGATATGATGCGACGATGAATGAGGGCCATCTAGAGGCCGACATTGTGGTTTTTCGGTTACGACTGTACTTGACGGATTGGTATCTGAAGCGACTGGGTTGATTTGTGGTTCAGTTCCAGTTAGATCTTTGCTTGGCTGAAGCAAGCCTTTATATTGATTAGGAATGTCGGTAGTGCTAGGTGGAGCTTTGGATGAAGTTGCTTCCGGACTTGACGAAGTTTTGATTGGAACACAGTAGGTGCTCCGGAGTAGTTGCAAGAAAAAGGGCCGTTGCATCGGGTCAAGAGCCCAAACTTGCTCGGAGTTGTGGGTCCGGTGATCAATGCTCCAATGCAACATGACATAGATGTAATAATCCCAAAGCTGAGATGTTAGATGGTTCGTTCGACTGTCTCCTAGTAAATGCTGTGGGAGGTGACAAGGGGACATCAACAATTGGCTTGACCCGCTCTATATCTCAAAAACACTCACGTTAATGACCGGCATAAAGACTCGAGTCATAGGCGGGTCCAATTTTCTGATCCGTTTGCCGAGTAACGCAATCATAGTTGCCATCACACTAATCACCCAACCGACATCGCCTTCTTTGAGAGAACGCTTGATTTGTTTGACCAGCAAGTGCCAACGCAAGAATGTGTTTTTGTCGTTGTAAAAGGCCTTTAGGAGGGAAAAAATGAGTTGGGACGGTGAGTTAGTAGATCCTTAACGGTTAATTGACAAGAAAGGCTTACGAGGGCGAAGGTGGAAAGTTTCTCTTTGAAAGCTTCTTTCCTCCCTTGCTGAAGTTTAAGCAAAGCGTCAGCTGAAGCACGCATTTCGTGGATTTGAACCCGAGCAGAAGTTTTCGCCGGAAGATCCCAATCGAGTTTAGTACAGTTAATCAATGCACCCAAACCTCCGATCGCTTGATGCCTCAAGATTGGAGAATCGGGCGCCATTAAAGACGCCAAGAAAGGCTCCAAAAACTTCCCAACCTTCGGCGCGATATGTTGTGGAACTTGAGTTGTAAGTTGTTGCAAAGCAGACAATCCCAAGCACAAAACCTTTTGACCTTTGTCTCCACTTTTTCCAGCAGACAGATACAATGTGCTTGCAATGGCATCAACCACACTGCTCACATGAGGTTCTAGTGTGGCACGTTTTAGTCTCTGATGCTTGAAAGTGTGGTTCATGAGCCCAACAGCAATTAAGTTCTTCTTGCGGCGGAGGATCGAAGATTTTGGTATTTGAATCAGGAGCGACAGTAGACGTTGAGTATAGGAATCTGTGGCAAAATTCAAGAAGTGGCAATTAGCGGTGATCTTAAATGGATTGACTGCCATAGACTAACTCACCCTCAAAATGAACCATACAACTAGGCCAGCCCCATAGTATTGCAATGCATCTCAGCGCGGCTTGTCCAGTCTCAATTTCAGCAACTCGCCTCCTGATTTCATTTGTTGAGGCGCCAGATTTATTGATGGTTGCTGTTGAAGGTGTAGGAGCACCGTTCAAGGATAAAGGGTTTGCATTGGAGGGGAGCATCATTCGAGAAATTTCGTCCCTTAAATGGGAAGCGGCTGAATTGCTGGAAGATGTCGCCTGCGGTTCTGCTGGAGTGCTTTCATCATGTCTGCACAGATTTTCAACTTCCCGTACCAGGCATTTCATGAGGGCAGCCCCCACATCATCTGCGAAGAGGGATCCTAGCCGGAGTTGCTGGTCCTCGTCCGAAGGTTGACTAGATTCTTGCCAATGCTTGACGAGGGCGTCGAGATGATCATACAAAGAGATATAGGCGTCTTCTACCTCTCTTAAGGTAATCGTTACTTGCGGAAGTGATTGTGACTGTCGGACAGGGCTAGAATCAGGAGTGCGAAGAAGTCCGGATGTAACGGATGGAGTAGTTGGTGTGCTCCTAGATTCAGCAGGTTTTGGGCGAACCCTGAACAACGAGCGCCCACGAGTACGAGGTTGATTCTTTGGAAGGTCCAGCCGAGGGTTACAGGTAGGGGCACGTGGTAGCACGCCCCGAGGCTCCCGTGGGCTACCATCAAGTGTACCTAGTTTACTCAATTTGTATTTCTGGGGGCTTGTCAATTTCGCCAAGGGGGAGACGGGATCTAGACGCATTTCATCCGGTGGAGGAAGAAGAGAAGCTTGAAGGGTGACCAAGCAGCTCCGGGCTGACGATAGCAAGCATGCCTCGATTGCGTCGCTGTCAACTGAGTCCAAGTTGCCGTTTTCCAAAGACAAGTTTGTGCCATGAGAAGCCAAGCTATCTGCATTCCAATCAATATCAACTGTCGAACTGCTCTGGAGATTAGAGATTGAAGCCTCGGAACTGATTTGTAGTGACCGGATTGAGCCGTTTGATTCAGATGATTCAGCTGCATCTGCTGGTAACGTGCTACTGGATGCGTCCCCGGGCAAACTGGAATTGGTCTTCTGTGAGGCTTTGGACGTCACGGCAGCAATCACTCGACGATAAGCTGACAGAGGAGTTGGATCAAGTGAAAGTCGAGGGCGACCATTCTCGGCGGTAGCTTGCTGTACTGTTTCGGCCAACAAGATCTGTGCGCGGGTTTTCTTTAGGATAGGGCGTAACTCAGAAGGTTCCTCGTCTGGCTCATCGTCCAGCTCGTTTCGAAGATTCTGAAGGCGCGAGCAAGACGATGTCCTCCGGATATCAAACGTGTCATTTATGAGTGCCAAAGCGACCTCATCATCAGAATCAGAGGATTCATCAGAACTGTCCAAACGTGCTTCATCCTTCACTGTGAGCATCTGGTGGGAATGACGGCGAGCTGCTTGCTTGGATCCAGCGGATGTGGCGAGTGTAGGGCTCTTTGGGCGACGGGGGAGCTCCTGAAGGAAAGATGGGTTGTAATAAAACCGAGCCAGTTTCTTCCTAGCTTCAGCCTTGGCCCCAAGCGGTGAGCCGGGGGCTTGGAGTCGTCTTAGGTCAGCTTCCCGGTTTCGAGAGGTGCTGGGGGATGTAGGGTTAGCGAGCTGAGGGGCGGCAAGGGAAAGACGGGCGCGTTTCTGTTGATCGGCATAACTACGTGACGAGAATAGGGTTGGCTGAACGGGGCCAGGGTGTTGGATTTTTGTTGTGGTGCGAGGAATAGTGGCGATTGTCTGGGCTCGAGAACGATGGTTGGGGACACTCCGGGCGCTACGCAGTGGTGCATCATTAAAAATGACAGATTTCCTCTTGCGGGGACTGGCAGGCGGCGCGTGGGTCGGGGTGGATGTGGGAGGGGAAGGTGGAGCTTGCTTCGAAACAGGTGGGGAAAGTTGGTTCATGTCCAATGTGCCACACGCTTTGCCTGATTTGGGGACTGTCGAAAGCTTTTTCGACTCGGCGGTAATTCTCTTGGCAGAGGCCTGACCAGGGAGGTGAGAGAATACTGAGGCTCGGTGGATTTCACTTGACATAGAATCGGATTGGTGGGCGGGAGGAAGGGTCTTCAAGATACGACTGTGAGGGAAATCTTTTGCCACTTGACGCGATTACTGATGCTATTCTACTTGGATGAAAAAGACTTTAGACTCCGAGAGTTGTGGATAAGAAGAGTTGAGCTGAGGGGTTACCTGCGCGAAACAAACAAAAAAAAAACATCTTAAGCATATGGGAATCACGAGTAGCATAAAGCAAGAGAAGTCAGGGATATATTACTGTTTGTTCCAAGAAAACCTAATAGTTCCAAGAAGTAAACGCAGTGCACATGAATTCCGTGGGTTGTTTCTCGAGTTCAAGAAGTTGGCGATGTTGGTCGAAGAATAAGGTTCCAGGTCAAATCCGGGTCGGCGGCGGGTCGTGGTGGACGTGGTGGAAACGTGAAGAAAAGCGAGGGCGAGTTGATGGAGGGTGAGGCTACCTGAATGCTTGTTGGGAAAAAGAAATTGTGAGAGCTGAGGAGCGGGATGAGTTATGATTTCTGTATGGAAGTATTGGTCAAGTGTGTTAATGGTCTAAAGCAAGCAGAGGCCAAGGTCGGAGTGGATCTTGATATGGACGCGACTGGGATATCCGATATGTCGCGTCGTCATTGAGGAAGTGGTGCCAGTCTTTTCAGCCCAAGATGCACACGCCGCACGCACATGCATGCGATCTGATCGGGTCTTAGCCTCCCAGGGCGCACCAAGCAGAGCAGCCGGGTGCACGGGCCTGCATATCAAGTCACAGAAACGGATACAAAAAAGCGGCCCGGACTCCGCATACAGACACGGATACTTGGCGGGTCCAACTACAGTTGTTGTGCAAGCAAGCGAAAAAAAAAAAAACACACGATGGCATGACTGTTTTCTAGAGGAATGAAAACCTGTGTGTGAAGCTAATTAACCTTGAAGCCTAGGAGAAAAACTAGTGCAACAAGTGTTTTTGTCGATCAGGGTCACAGAAATGTGAGCCACTGAACAGAGTGTGAAATTCGATTATGGGAAGCAAGTCATATGGGGAATACGTATTTAGATGCGCACACAAGCGCACCCAGAGTCAAATTAACTATATGTATATGTATGTATTTTTTGGTTCTAATAAAACAGTGAAAAAAAGGTTTATGAAACACAGTATATGTCCGGACAACAACACAAAAAAGTTAAGCTTATGAAAACATTCATCTACCTTTGACCTGGCCTTATGAGGGGGGTGGGGAGCATGTGGGGGTAGGTTTGGTAATTGTAGAAGGCGGGGGGAGGGGGTAGGAGTGACTGATGATGACACAGTGAAGAATTAGAGGGAAATAGGGATAAGCCAAGTTGCACATTGTGCGTCGGTCATGACGTGTCGTTCTGAAGTGCCGTGACCAGCCTGAAGGGTATGAAATTGATTGCGGGAAACACCGGGTTATACGAAGATGATTAAGGAAGTTGAGACAAGAAATAATTAGTTTTCGATCAGACTTCGTAGGATCATCATTCACCGCCCATGACGTCTTCACGAGGTCTAACTCACCAATCAAGTCCTTCCTCTAAACCTTCGCCTTTGGTCGCACATGCTTTGAAGATACTCCACTGACGATTCTTCAGGGTGTCCAACCCCAGTCCTTCTGAAACCTCTGCTGGGGTCAAGGCATTCGGTTGATCCTGTATAAACAGACATGCAAGAGTCAAGTCAGCTTGGGCACGACTGAAGCATACCGATATAATTGTTATGCATATCAAAAGAAAGGACCTGTTTGTTCGCAAATACCAATAACCGAGCATCTTTCAGTTCATCCTCGCTCAGCATGGCCAGTAACTCTGCCTTGGCGATCGGGAGCCGATCCCTATCGTTAGAATCCACCACGTAGATTACCGCTTGGGTGTTTGCGTAGTAGCACCTCCAGTATGGTCTGATTGATGTCTGTCCTCCCAGATCCCACTGTGTTTTCGAATGCATAGTGGTCAATGCTTCTTATTCCCGATCAGTTTAGGGGGGAAACAATCATTTACCACTTGGAATTTGATATTCTTATATTGTACTGTTTCGACGTTGAATCCGATTGTTGGTATTGTTGAGACTACCTCTCCGATTTGGATCCGATAAAGAATTGTTGTCTTTCCAGCCGAATCTGAATCAAGCCAAAACAGGGAAGAACGGTTTCGTCAGTTTCTGATCTCTGTAACAACAATCATAGCATGATGATGGGTCTTCAAGGATAAGATCACAAACCGAGACCGAGCATCAGAATTCGGACTTCAGACTGTCGAGAGAAAAGGGACGAGATCCTTCCGAATATCGATGAAAAGGCGATACCCATTTGAGCGGAAGGTCCCTGATTGGTTCTTCGGTTTCAGTGATTAGAGCTCCGTCCCGATGTGTTTGGCTTCTTTTGTCGGTCTGAGTATAGTTTGGTTGGCTCTCGATTCTTCGTGGAGGAGGGCGACTGGAGACCTCGGGGCCGGCTTGCTGGTAGCAGCTGGGGGCCGGTGTCATGGCACCCGAGGCCTCGGACTATTCCAAGGGGGGTTTATATGCATATGACTCAGCAGAAGGGGGCCAGCTATGCATTTTGAACTATTTTGAACTGTCCGCCATTGAAAGGCAAGGCGTGACTGAAGATCTCCATACCCTTTTCTCCCCTTGCCCGCCAACCACGATGGGCTTATCAGGTCGAAAGGACAAGCAGAAGATAGGCGATGACCCTAGAAATACCAAGTGGGCAAAGAGTTGAGTGTCCTCCCAGCTATTGGCAGATCAGCAAAACCTGCTTGACGCGGAACATCCGAGCTGACATTTTTTGCTCACTTGGCCAGATGAATCCAACCCTGGTTTCAAGATCCTATCTTCCATGGGCTGGACACCTTCGACAACCACTCTAGGCGCCGCCTCGACCGCTTCTGAGCCGGCCCAATCGACCTGGAAGCGACTCCCTGGGGTGATCCTCCCGGTCATCAAATCCTCCACCTCTGGTCTCGGTGCCAATCCAGCTCAAGCTTCCACCAGCACCTATCTGTCAGGCGCCCCACGCTTCGTCCGAGCCTCCCAGGGCATATCAGTCGTCGAATCGGATCTCGAACCTTCCACGCTGGCAGAAAATGATCCAGATCGGTCAACTAAACTTGCTATCGTCTCTCAGGGCGGTGGCTTTGATGATCTTCTCAGCCGTCTCAATCAATCTAAATCCAAATCTAAATCCAAATCTAAGTCTAAATCTAAAACCAAATCTGAAAGCGAAACTGAAACGAGCACAACAACTAAGATCAAGCGAAAGAAATCTAAGAAGAGTTCTAAGTCTTCAGAGGCCGAACCTACGGAGGAGAAACAATCAACCCGGAAGATCAAGAAATCCAAGAAACGGAAGACCATGGAGGCTACGGAGCCAGAACAGCCTACCGACGACGACGACGAAGAATTGGTGGCTACTCCATCCGGCCCGATCAGGATCTCAAGGCCTATCAATCCCCGAGTAGCGTATGTTTCCGCCCTGCTTCCGCCGTTCCCTCATTCCTTGATCACCACTTCGTATGATTTTTCTTACATTTTGCTTATTTATTTTATGACAAAAAACCAGTGCACGAGCTAAATTCATCAATTCGAAAAAACTGGCTTCATCTGCGGGGAGCGCTCAAGCCATGGCAGAAATCCTCGGGATCCCACCCCCTTAATAGCACCTCATTCATTCCATTCCAATAATCAACCCCGGGACCAAACCACATCTTGAAATCATCGTAGAGCTTTCCGCTTCTAACTATCCACATACTTCATCATAAATATCCTCCTCCTCTCAAAACCCATGCCATCTTTGTACATCCTAATCAGTATTTGATCATCAACTTATGACCGCATATGGATTGGACCTTGTTATGAATCTCCTTCAGATCTTGACTCGCTTGTTTCCCAACATAGACGCTCGATGCAGATCTAATTGCACTTGACTAATTTTGGTTTTCGTAGAATGTCTCAAGCCGGAATGCAATCCGTATAAGTTACAAGTAAGATTTAGCCTAGGCTCAAAAGCACCTGCTACCCCACAATCTCCACTCCTGGGGACATCTTGGACAAAATGGGGATAAACTATGTGAAAACTGATCAATTTCAAACCTTAGTGTTTGATTACAAGATAGATGCAGCAATTGAAATATTTGGAGCAAAACACGACACAAATGAACATAGGAGTAAGCTTTTGCTTTCGCATGTATGACATGATTGAAAGAGTCTCTAATTACGGGTTAACATTTGGCTTGATCGAAGGCTACAGAACGCAGGAGGCGAAAAGAAAAGAAAAGATAAATAAAAATTAAAAATTAAAAGTGCTGCCACAGCTCGCCAAAGGAAAGTAACTGATCGTCAATTGGGCCAAATAAGCCACGTTTTACAGCGACTTCTTCATACCAAAAACTGAAGAGTAAGAATGCAAGCTTATGTGCCTGTTTCCTATGGAGGGGTCTTGACGTCGTTAATTCTTTGGATAAGAATTTCTGAGGGATCCCAAACAATTCTTCGGGAGGATGTATGGGTGGAAAGACGATCTGAACCCAGCCGAAAAGGGGCAAGCCATCTTGGGCGGAATGCTTGAATAAACTGGCAAGGTACCAGTCGATTAAAATTTGATGAGTTTTCTGGGGATCATCAACTCCTAAATTGACGCTTGCGATCTGACAGAGAATACTGAGAGACTCGAGGATTTTGAGGATCCGACTCTCGAACAAAGTGACTTGATCCGTCCGGGTCCTCCCCCCGTCTCTGCCGTCGCTCAGATTGATGAACACATGCCGTGTCTCAAGAGTATGATCGTGGTGATAGGCCGGGATAAGATAAATCGGCAGATCGGTCACCTTGATCGGTTCATTGATACGCGAAAAATGGTCTTGGAGTGCTAGCACAGACTTCTCGAGTTCTGAGCGAATAAAGGCCCTGATTCCTTGGGTGATCATTGATTCGCCTTTCTTCTGATGGCGACTAACAACCGTGAACAATGACTCCTTGTGCTGAATATCTCCCGAGTTTCCAAAGTGCTCTTTTATCTTGGCGCTAAAAAAATCGAGCTCTGGACTCTCAATCTGATGATCAGTCGTCACAACATTGTCCTGTGGTCGGCTTTGGTTCTTGCTTGCACCGATTCCGGATTTCATTAATCTTGACAAGTCGTCCTTCCAAAAGCTTACGGATTCTGCAAAGATCCAGAGGTTTTCAGGGTGACCTTTTGGGTCTGATCTGCCAAGCTTGAGAGCACTTATCTTATACCAATATTCTAGCAGCGAAAGAGAAACGCTGTATATTTCATTGTGTCTTTGCTTTGTCTGTTGGACATCGGTGTGTTTTTTCTGGTGGACAAGCACCATCGCCAATGCTTTCTGTGCGTCACCAAATCGATTTGCGGCCCGTTCTGCCTCTGTCCACGTGTTGCTATATTGCCCAAAGATCGGAAGACTATCTTCAGTTGCTTCAAAGAACAGTTTCTCAATCCATTCCATAAATTCCTGCCGAGTATTCTCCCATTGGGGCCCAAAGATTACTGGGTCGATTTCTTGCAGACTGGCCAGACCAATGAAAAGCTCTGCTGCTTCAAGGATCTTCGTAACACGAACTCTGATGTTAATCAAACATTTACCTCGCCGTGCTTGAGCCCCTCTAATTCCTTTGGGCAAGAAGAAAAAGTCATGGAAGTCTTCTATATCTGGATCTTCGTCGACATGGATGATCTCGAGCGAGATATCCTTAGAGCTGACCTTTTTATAATACTTTCTATTGGGTAACATCTCGTTCAAGGTCACCTGTTCTTTTTCCAAGCGCCGTAAGAAACGTTTGATACTTTCTGATTGTAATTCTGAATTCCTCTGGAAAAAGTATCGTTTGACCCAATCAAAAAAGGGATGCCATCTTTCATCATAGGGCAGCATTTCAAATTTTATTGGACTGTGTCCGGATGAGGATGGAATTGGTTGCTGTCCCTGATCTGCATGGTTAAGAAGGCTTGGAGAGTGACTTTCCGGTTGAGCAGTCATTTTTCCCTCTTGCATTGTTTGGGTTGGGTGACGAAATTCCGAGTTCGCCAACTGATCATCCCTTGAGCGCTTCTTCGAAACTGTGCTAATCTCGACCTGTCTGCCATGTTGGCTGTCTAGAGAGTTGGAAGCCGTCGGTGAGTCGGATTGCGAAGGGAACGTCTTGTCTGTTACAGGGAGTCGACTAATTTATGTGAGTAGAATGCATCAACCCCTTGATCTTGGTACCATCAGGATGAATTTTACCTTTCGAGTTGGCACCATCACCGATAGCTGAGCTGACTGTGTCATGATGCCGTGAACCATTTCCTGAGGAATCGAGCTCACTTTCGTCCCACTGTCCACGATCTGCGTCCCAGACGAAATCCATAGATGAGATGCGAGCGTCAACGGGAGGCACACCACAAACTCCAGAGAAAACAAAAATTGAAAACACATGCACCCACATTCTTCATTCAAATCGAAATTTTTCATAGCCCTTCCCCCTACCGAATCATAGTCGGATGATACTTTTCTACTCTTCCTGGCCGATTGAAACGCCAAAAGCTCCCAAGATTCTGATCGATCCACACTGGAGTCTGGCCTATGCTCAAGAGCACCGATAGTTGGGACCTCAAGCTCAGCTGGGATGGGTGTAGGAGGAGAACAGATCGATAACTTCAAGTAGACAATCAGCAGAAAGTTCACGCGGAGTAACCACAAATGATGAGCTGAAGACATTGTGGTGCTTCGTATAATCCGTTGTGCCGTGCCGAGTGATTGTGCAATGAAATTGGCATTCAGTAGGCACTAGGCAGGAGGCACGGAAACCCACCTTCATACCCGCTCGTGCTACATATTTAACCGATTTTAACGGACGTTTCCCTCCTACAATACTTCCTGACACAAGTTACGCAACAATGCATTTGCGTATTTATGTAAGAGTCTGACCCAAGTCATTTCTACACCGGCTTGCCTGGCGATTGCAGTTGAGACTTGCCGTTGGTACATGCATAGACTTGCGAGCTGCCCGCAATATAATCTGAAACAGAAGTGCTGAATGATGCCCGTTTGATGCTACAACATAAGGACCCATGTTCGTGTGTTTACATATCCCTTCTATATACCTCATGGTCATCCACCTGTTAAGGCTTAGGCTTGGCAAATGCTCCACACTTGAAACTTCAGTGTCTGCCTTCGTCTGGCCGGCTGGGGCGGCAGGAAGACATCACAGCCTATGAGGCGGCGTTTGTGCTTGTCTGTTGGTGATTTGAGCCGTTGGTATCTCTCGTGCATGCGGTGACTGGTTGAACGACTTGCTTCCATCAGTCTCTGGGCTGATAATGCTGATTTGGTCTGAATAGACCAGGGCCTCGCGGAGTCGGGTCTATCGGGGTACGGAATCGTTAGGAATCCGGATCGACCTACCGGGTCAGTCACTGCAAGCACTGCAGGGTTCGGTATCTTCTTCGGAAGGCCTGGTGGCAAGTCTGCCTGGCGGAAGCGTTCCTCGCGCGCGCGGTTGCGTTAATATCAAACCCGGCGACCCAAATTGTGCTCTCTTCAAGTCAGTCAATCATCCTTGCTCGAGACGTTTCCCGGGACATCAGGGGAATTCGCCGCGTCAAGAACTGCACCCACCTTCTTCATCCCCGGGACGGAGTTGAGGACATCTCTTCGACAAGATTCAAAACTTTCTTAAACATGCTCGACGCGTTCCTTATTGACTGTGATCTATGCAGATTCGGAGAGGGATACTCTGAGCTTGGCAGTGACAGGTCGCGTCCGAGCCGCTGGATTGGGGTTAGCTCGAACTTAACTTAGAGGCGGTCGACTCTGGATACACAAACTCGAAGGCAGTCAACAGCTTCCAAGCTTTTAATTTCTCGACACAACCCCTTCACACATGGTAGGATAATTACCATTCCGAGCCACTCTTCCTTCGGTCAGGCTATCTTGGGGATCACAATGACATCAATTGGGTCGGCTGATACGCAGGATTGCAAAGCATGTCCGCAGGAAATGCCCGACTCGTCCGGCCAGATGGCCAGCGATGATGGAGATTGTATAGTATCATCCCCCAGCTGAAAAGGAATTTTGAGAGTTTCCGAATTGGTTGGACTGTACATAAGAATGACGTGAATGTGTGGATTGCAGATGAGCGGCACTGTCCGCTTCAGTCCCTCTTCTGCTCATTTCCATTTGCCTGTTGTGTTACACTTGACTAAGTAACTCCTCTGACTTGCCAGCATGGTGACTGGTAAGTGGCATAAGTGTTCCACGGCCATGAAGGATTCAAAGCTTTCTCTTGCGCTCAAATTCTCGGAAGCAGTTTATTTGACTAGGATGTCTTTTGGCGCAGCATGTTCTTTCTGGGAAGATAGTATCTAGTCTATTGAAAAGAATCTTGCTGAATCCTCCATATAAATCCTGAGTTGGCACTCCGGCTGGGCCAGAGCTACCCCCACCGACCGCGAATAACTAACCAACATTCTTGTCCTCCAAGTCCTTCGTGCTAATTATTATTTATATTAAGCGGTGCTTGCAAAACTGCACTTATCGGCGACAGAATTGTGAAGGAAGATGAGATTCTTTTCGCGCATGTTGGCACCTTCGCGTGACCAATCGGCCCCACCCAAACACTCACAAGTCGCACCGCCAACGCTCCACCACCATCTCCAGCGTCCCACCCGGATCCTGCGCTCGCCGAACCTGGAGATCCAAGACCTTCTCGCGGCGGAGCCTGCCCGGGTGAGCCTGACTCCACTACCATATGATGCCAACGGCCTCAAGCTGGTGTCAAGGATTGCATTGAAGTGGAAAAGCCGATTCGGCCAATCCCCTGGACCTGTTCCCACTGCCTCTCAAAGTGATCTCGGACACGGGTGTCCACTCCAGCCGACCTTGACCCAACAGAGCAGTCCCGATCAAAGGGCAAAACTCAGAAGACATTCTCATCTTCCCCCGGGCCCCAGGATGACTGGCGCCAAGTCGTTCTCAGACGCCAGACCACTCAGGGACCTGTCCCCAGCAGCCCCACCTCTCAAGCCCAAGACTAGCTCAATCTTCGGGGCTAAGAAGAAAGGCATCTCTCAAATCTCTCGTCCCAGGTTACTCACAGAAGATCCCTGGAACACCCAGATCAGCCTCCATCGTTCTCCGAGCCGACATCGTAGAAACATCCCCGTCGACATGGATTTCGCATGCTTCTCGCCATCCAATCCTCAGGATATCTCCATCGACAGTAATGACTACGCCGCTTCGACCCTCGACTTGCTCCACTTCTATCGGGAAGTCCACGGCTATTCTCCAGCCAGTTCCTCCCTGGGCGCTAGTTGTTCGCCCCGCTTAGGAATCCAATAAGCCACAAGCTTGTAAAATGGTCGGTGCTCTTTCCTCATCCACTCAAAGAAACACAGCAAGCAGGAACCACTTCTCCAAACCCCGACCATCTCATTGGATGAATCCTGACTGTGTCTGCTTCTCTCTTCCCATGTTTCCCACAGCCCCACCACCCTTTGGAAAGTTTCATCGGAACTCTGCCGGCTTTCGGTCCACAGATATCCCCCCAAACCACACAGACATTGGCATCATCTCACACTAATTCTATGCTTGACACCAACCCTATTTACATGTTTATCTCTTCATCTTTCCTAAAATATCCTCACATCTTTTCGATGTTCTGGCGCTTCGCTTTGAACCAGTTTCTGGATTTCTTCATTTCTTCCTATATATCCTTACCCATCTTTCCGTCCCAAACATTCCTTGCACTTTTCACACATTCCTTCTAATAATATCGAATATTCCTTCGGGCTTAAACATTGCATTTGGTTAAAAAAACATTCCTTTCGTTTTCAACCTTCCTTCTGGTTATAAAAACATTGCCTTGGTTTCATACATTCCTTTTCGTTTCAACAACATTCCTTCCGTCTTTTTTTTTCAACATTGGTTACCATTGACAAGATCACTTTGTATTTATACCCATCTCCATGATTGTCCCAATCATGGTAGTCTACATTTGTCTTCGAACTGCCTTTCATTAAATAATCAAAGTTTAAATTTTTATTTTATCCAAGCACCAGCGGGCCATCTCAGGCATTTTGACAAATAGTCCTTCCATGGGAAGGACGAGCAACCATCCTACCCCACATGTGAAAGGTGCCAGACCAAGTCGTTTGGAGACACACACCCATCATATTCTAGTAATCATATTTCAGTACGTCCCGATGGGTCTCGAAACTTGATCTTGTTTTCTAAAACTGGAAGTAAGAACGAGTCAATTATACACCGATTATCAATTTACATGGAACAAGAAGTTTTAGCCACCATTGCTCTCTAGTTCGGAAGTCAATCATCGACAGCTTGGATAATAGAAAGGATTAAACGAGGCGGGAAGATTGTATTTTTGGGGGGTTATCTTGATACACTGAGAATGCGATGAAGCTTAAATTTCGCGCTGTTTTCCTTTATCAGTGAGATGAATGTTATCCATTGGATGGTGGTCATCAGGCGAGTCGTCAGCGCCATAGGCCTTCAGATCATCCGCCCTCCCTCTGGCCCTTGCCAAGTCGTCCTGCATGAACAAGAGTTCCTCGATTCGACTCAATTGTTTTTCGGCTAACGAAACCTTCCGACGTGCTAGGGGGTATGGCGTGTATTTTATAAGGTCTCTGGATGTCGATCCATGTAGGGTGGTTGGATTGTGGACTCGAGTGGACGATTCTTCTAGTGCTGATTTGATGTCGTCCACTTTCAGTTTCCCCCTGTTCGTTGACCTCCTGTGTGCAGTAATTAACTTGGTAGACACGTACAACCGTCGTTTAGTTTTTTTTTTTTTTCTGTTTCCCATCGGCAAATTGAAGCTAGAAAAAAATATATGAGGGTGACCCAAACTGTCAGCTCACCACATCAGAAATATGATCGATTACGATCTCCTCCATCAAGTTAACGACATCCCGTTGCGGATCCGTGTCTCCGAATCCAAACATCATAGCTGTCACTGAAATACCCGGAAGAATAAACCCAGATCAGTTCATCGGTGTGTTGAGTTCTAGTCTATCTACTTCGTTGGACATACAATCTTTGGCAAACAAGCCTTTTTTCGAGATCCTGGGGCGAGATCGAGCTTGGGTGTTGTGGTCATTGTGGGATGGTCCTGAGAAGGACTGTTGGTGTGACATGGGGTTGGGCAGATTACTTCTTGGATATGTATTCCAGTCGAGCAGCATCTGGGGAGAGATGATGACCTTTGTTGACCATGTGACACCCATCGCAGGTGACAGGCTCGTGAAAGGGCACAGGTTTTTTAGACCCCGAGCTCCGACGGCACAACTAAATAAGTCAGCCGAGTGGCTCCGAGCTTAACTAACCCTCTCCGGAGGAGGCGCGAAGCGTCTCCGAAGGAGAGGCTTATGAATAAAGTGACACCCTCGGCCTGAGGCTGGCAGATTTCAACAAAGAAATTCATGAAATTTGCCTCCGCAAATCTTCCACATCTCTCCCTCACATTCAACACAAGATACAAATAGAATATTTTGTAGCCCTTGATCTTGGCTTTCTATTATCTATTTTTTTGAGTAATTCCATCAAGAACTGATGGATTTGTAGGAATTCTTGTGAGAGCGATTCCTGAGGAATGCGATTTTGCCATCGGATCATCCGAAGGTCAAGGTGGAACACTTTCTCACGGGTTTTTTCAGTT